GCAGAGGTTCGCGCCGGTTTTGCACATCATATACTGACAGCAATCCGCCCCCTCGCGGATGGAGGTGTCGTAGGTCCCGATCTTCCGCGCCTCCTCCATAATCGCCGTCTTGGGCAATCCGATTAAAGGGGCCACAATAGCCTTGCCGATCGTCGGGTAGAGCGTGCTGATGTTATGAAGCGTCTGCGAGGCCACTTGCGAGACCGAATCCCCGGTAATCAAGACCAAATCCTCCTTGTCGAACCCCGCACTCAGCGCGAGCATACACCACTTATAGACCAGCGTCCGGTTGATATTCGGCACCTTCGCGACGATCTGCGTTTGCAGTTTACTAATATCAACGTAGAAGATGGGAAAGCGGCCTTGAATGCGCGAAAGCCTCTCCGCCAGGCGGCGGTTTTTCTCCACTACGGAGGCGGTATCGCTTGTGCTATTCAAAAAGTGAATCCCGCGGACGAAGCAGCCCCGGGTCATCATCCGATAGGCCGCCACGGGGCTGTCGATGCCCCCGCTGATCAGAGCGAGGGCGGGCTGGCGGGGATCAACGGGGACGCCGCCGATGCCACCCCGCAAAAACCCCGCGCGGGGGTCCCCGACGCGCGTTTTGCCCACCCCTTTGTATATTTTACCAATCCCGGGGATCAATTCCAACAAGCTGAGCTGCTCCTCCGTCGGGTGGCGATGGCGAACCTCGACCATGGTATTCCCGCTCCGCAGCACCTCCGGGTTCCCCAACACTCGCCTGACCTGCTCAATCAAGAGCGAAATGTACCGCTTTTGATGAATCGAACTTTTTAAATACACCTCGGCGATGGTCAAAACCAGCGTGACCTCCTCCACCGCGGGCGTCCCGTGGCGTTTGCCGAACCAATATCGCCCCTCCTCGTCAATATGGCGTAAAAAGACGAACGGCTCCCCGTCAGTGGCTATCGCGCCGGCCTTTTTCTGAAGTTCAAATCCGCTCCGATCGCAGGCATACCAACGCCGGCCTGGGATTTGCATTTCACTCGAAAGCGCCGCCGCGCTGACGCATTGGGGGCTCGACATATACCACAGATAGCGATCCCCCACTTGGGGCTCCTTCATGACGTAGTGGAAGTGCCCATTAAGCGTCTTCACGATGAATAAGGGCGCGCGATCGCGGGGGAAAAGACGGGGGTTGGTTGGGAGAGTGCCATTCACGCACGCGTCGTTCGTGGTCATTGGGCCCAACTTGTGGGGTTAGCGGTTGGGATTTAGACCTAGGGGTTGGCCGTGAAGGGTTGTTGAGACGCTTGGCGTCGAACTTTTTGTAAGAATGAGCTTTCGTATTTGACCAATAGAGAAACACCCAAAATTGGGGAGAGGGGGAAAGAAAAAAGAAGTCACCGAACCAAGGCGTCGAGAGACCCAATCGCAGAGTTGTAAAGGCATCATTAAAAAGACAAGACGATAGTTTTATAAAATCTGTCAGGATCCCCATTTTAGGGTACAAAAAAACCCTAATTAATCCGAACGACCGAGCCGATAAAGGCTGCATCGTCTAAGTCAACTTGAGCTTATCCTTATTTCGGAGATAAAGCTCCATAGGAAAGTCCGGCGCGATATCGATGCCTTCCACCGGGATAAAGTACTCCAGAAGGACCGACATGAGCCAATCGACCGCGTAGAGCATCCAACAAATAATCCCAAAGACCCGCCCGAGCGAGACGTAGCTCATGCAGCGTTCGTAGGTCGAGAGGGTAGGCATATTAATAATTCGATCATACACCCGCTCTGTTCGCGCCGCGACCCAATCCCAGCTATAAAACCGCCGGCAATTCTCATGCAGCTCCCACGGGGAGAGATAAGGGACTTTGTGGATCGCCTCCTCGAGGGCGGCGACGATGGAGAGGGGGTCGGGCTCCGCCAGGAGCAGCATATGTGGGGGAAGGACCTCCGGCACCCCGCCGACCCGCGTCGAGACGGTCAGCAGCCCGCACGAGGCGGCCTCGATCAACGCGATGCAAAAGGCCTCCGTCAGACTGCAATTGAGGAAGATCTGGCCCTGCGTGAGGACGCTGCGGACCTCCGTGTGTTTGAGCGCGCCCAGCATCTTCACCCGGCCCATCAAATCGCAGCGCTCGATCATCTGCTCGAGCTGGGAGCGCCGGGGCCCATTGCCGCCGATAATCCAGCGAATATTCGGGTGCCGCCGGCAGATCTCCGGGATCACGTCCACAAAGAGATCCGAGCCTTTGCGGTAGACCAGCCGCGTGATGACGACGATGGTGAGGCCGTCCTTGTCGGTCTTGGAGGCCCAGGATTTGTACTTCATCTCCTCCGGCGGGGTGAACATGGCGTGGTCGGTGCCGTTCGGGATGACGCTCACCCGCTCGGGCGCGATTTTCGCCCGCAGGACGGTGTTCTCGCGGCAGGTGTTGCTCACGCAGATCACTTGGTCCACCGTTCGCAGGCTCCACTCCAGGACTTTGTTGATGTGAATCGACGCCGCGTCGGCGAAGCCGAAGAGCGAGTGGTCCGTAAAGCAGGTTTTGATCCCCATCGCCCCGGCGTGGAAAATGGCCTCATGGCAGAGGTTGGAGGTGGTTTGGTGGCCATGCACGACGGTGATCCGCTCGCGAATGAAGATCGTCCGGAGAAGGGGAAAGGCCGCGAGCCAGGTCGGCAAAGTCACCGACCCCGGCGGGAGCTTCGCCGCGAGAAAGGGGAGATAATACACTTTCATGCCGTTGGTGTAATACCGAATGCCCACCCGCTCGCCGTAGGCTCGGGTGATAATGATGACTTTATGGCCCCGCCGCATCAGGCACTGGGCGACATTGTAGATGTGCACCTCAACCCCGCCAAAGCCTGGGAAAAAAAAATCGGAAACGAACGCCACGCGGTAAGGGACCATTGTTGGGAAAAAAGCAAGCAAAACAAACCACAATAAGAGGGAAAGAATCCACCAATCGGCTCTAATTGGTCGGAAAGAGAATAATAACCTTTCAAAGAATATTTTGGTGTG